ATCAAAAGAAAAGTTAATCGATGGAGCCTTCAGTGTAAAATTGAACGCATTTTCGCTTGATGCCCTCCATCAAAGTATTTACAGTGTCATCCGGTACCAGTTTCTCAGTTTTTTTTTCCATTTTCTTAACATGTCCTTCTCGTCTTTGACTGTCTTCTTGCTCTTCCGAAGTTTCCGCTTCATTATTGCCCAGTACTGCTCCACCGGGCGCAGCTCCGGACAGTTAGGCGGATTCATGTCCTTTGGAACAAAATGGACAGAATTGACCTCATACCACTCCAGGACACTTTTAGAATAGTGGCATGATGCCAAATCTGGCCACAATAGCGGAGCTTCATCGTGCTGCTGCAAGAACGGCAAAAGGCGCTTCTCGAGGCACTCAGATTTGTAGATCTCGCCATTTACTGTGCCCTTTGTCACGAAAGGCTCACTCCTCAGTCCGCAAGAGCAGATGGCCTGCCAAATGAGATATTTGGAGGCGAACTTCGACATTTTCTTCTTCTTAAATTTGTCGTCCACATCGAACTTGCTCTTGCCGGTGAAAAACTCCAACCCCGGAATTTGCTTAAAATCGGCTTTTATATACGTTTCGTCGTCCATCACACAGCAGCCATATTTTGTCAGCATCTTCTCGTAGAGCTTCCGTGCTCGAGTTTTAGACGTCGATTGTTGCCGCTCATCGCAGTTTGGGAAGTTTTGTACCTTGTTTGTATGTAGTCCAGCTCTCTTCTTTGCATTCTGGACGTAGCTCTGCGACATGCCGATCTTTTTAGCCAAATCACGGCTTGAGACGTTGGGATTTGCTTTAATCATCCGCTTCACCTTTCCCTCCGTCTTTTTGTTCTCCGGTCCCGGTTTTCTTCCAGCTCCTTTGCCGTGGTCCAACGTCAACCGCTCCTGGAACCGCTTCAACACTCTGGAGACGGTTGAATGGTGAATGTTCAACATTTTTCTCAACTGCCGGTGCGACAGGTCAGGAAATTCCAGGTATTTGGAAAGAATTTGTTCTCTCAACTCACGTTGGTTCACCTCCATTTTCGTTGAATCGAAAAACACGACTTCGAGTTTGACAGCATGTACACAATACACATCAATGAGAAAGTGTGCAAAATTTGGTTGATTTTTACCCAATGGTAAAAAAGTTATGTCCTGTTGAATGTGTCGCAATAATTTCGTGTTCGCCCTTTACTTAGGGCATCTTTAGCCGTGGTCTGATCTAGATCAAAATTTATGTCACATTTGAACCAGCTAAAATTAAAAATATCAAGCCAAAATAGATCAAATTGTGTGCGTATATTGGTATATTTTTGGCCGTTCTATTTCAAACGTCAAAACCCGAATCAAAACCCGAATCAAAACCAACTTACACCCTGATTTCGTGGTCAGCCATTTTTTAATCTCGTGCGCATTCGTACATGGTTTTATCAGGCAATTACCGTGAAATTGACCTCCGGTGGCTGTCTCCTGGATTGATGTGCGGCTTTAACAAAAAGCTTTGAACTGCTCGTCCTTCTGCTCCTCGTGCTTCCCAGTGAAATAATAATAAAAACCTGTATTTATTGAAATTTGTCTGGTATGTTGTTGCGTGTTGGGCTTTGGTCCAAGTCAGAAACTTGACAATTCAAGAACAACATGTGAAAAGGGCATACAAGCTTTTTGTAAACAAACCTTCTTATGCTCTTTTCTCGCCACCTACATGACTCCAACGCAAACCATCAACATTAGCGGGTAGGAGAAGCATTCCCCTTCCCGATGATATTGTTGGTTTGCGTGAGCGACCCTCGGTTGGCGAGAAAAGGGCATAAGAAGGTTTGCTTACAAAAAGCTTGTATGTCCTTTTCACATGTGGCTCTTGAATTTCCTGGGGGGTACCCGGAACATACCACAATGTGGCCAATAATAACTTAAACTGATCTTGTTTTTCAATTTCTGCGAGATTGTATGTGTCAAATCACAGGGTTTGGACCATATCAGAAACTAGTCACTTCCCTAGGGGTTCCTGAAAGATGCCTAAAAAAAAAGGTGGTCCTGGGCACATTATTTGACTTCCATTGATCTTGGTTTTGAAATCTAATGTGATTTGCTATGTGGCGCATGATGGGTTTTGGATTAAATCAAAAACTGACCATTTTCTTGAAGGTGCCCGGAACATATCCGATACGGGTCAACATGATTCTGTGCACTATATTTGACTACCATTGATATTGCTTTTGAAATCTAATGTGATTTGATGTGTCACATGATGACTTTTGGACCAAGTCAGAAACTGGCCACTTCCCTGGGAGTTTCCAGAACATGCCCGGAAGTGGCCAAGGTGGTCCTGGGTACTTTATTTGATTACCAATACGCATGTGATTTGATGTGTCGCATGATAGGTTTGCAATCTCCAGAACCGGTTGACGGAATCCAAAATTATTCAATAGCGTTCAATGGGACCACAGTACCTTTCATTTGGCGCTAGTTGTGTCCAATTCGGTGCAGCGGTTGCTGAGAAGCATGAGCGTATTCTTTTCGTTACACACATGAACACACACATACATTTTCCGCTGTCATTGAGCAGAGTAGATTGGTATAAAAAACTCGGCCCTCCGAGCCTCGGATCGAAAGATGGTTTCCCAAGTGGTATATATATACCCTTCAAAAACAACATGTGATCCTTTCGCAGCTGCGACGACAGGGCCGGCAGCAACAGCAGCACCGATAGCGCGATCTATCGCTCTAGCTCTAGCTCTAGCTGGAACTACACCAATGTCAACAGCAGTCGATTGTTCCGCCCACGTTTCTTAGAAAATCGAGGAACTAAATCGGTTTGTTTTGCAGAAAAAACCATAACAACGAAACAAAACAACACAAAATCTCGAGTGCGAAAGCTGTCAAACTAGTTTGGAACAGTGCTTGCCTTGATCCAAATTCAGTTGAAAATAGATCGAGAATTATACTGGTTTAAAAAAAAATTGCATTTTAGAACTAGTCTAAAACAAAATATAGACCACCAGTGCAAGGTCTCGGTCTGGGTCTGTTCCAAAATTTTAGACCAAACCAACCAATTGGATCGTCGCTAAAGATGCCCTTAGTTTTTTTTTTTATGTTCTGTGTGTTACTTGGGATTGAATTACTGCACAACTACCATCGAACCTCTACTAATAATTCAAAGTGCATTTTGATACCGAACGAACCGGTAAGCTTTATTATATTTTGTGCTGATAAAGAAAACAATTGCTAACCCTCTACGGTTCAAGCAGAAGGAAAGTATTGGAATTACTTATTAAAAGATCGTTTAAGGGTTCAAGCCTACCTTCAAGGCCAAAAAAAGTGAAATGTTGGGATTTTTGATCTCAGAAAGTAAGCAACATATTTAAAATCGCTTTTCACTTATTTGATGTTCTTATATTCGTCTCTGAAAATCATTATAATATATGTTTCCTGGTGGTGCTTGTTCCCCAGAACGCCGCTCCCAGGAGGAGGCTTTTTTAAAAAGACGTTCCGCGGAGGCCACGCTGGCACGAGCAGAAATGATCTGAAATCAAAGATTTCAAAGGGGTTTCATTAACAATCAGTCAATTCAGGCGATGAATTTTTTGACGAAATAGCGGCCAGGTAAAAATGTCTTTAATCGGCTCTAAAAAATCGAATTTTAATAATATGCGAGATCCGAACGATTAAGGCCTTGAATAAACAGTTCTAAACTATATAAAGTATGTTCCATTTAGAATTTGGTCGCACAAAATAACAAGAGGAATTAACATACAAAACCGCTAAGGATATTATTTTGTAGGTTTTTTATTTAGCTTTAAGGGAAGTACTATTCGCCAACTGTTCGGATGCACTTTCGAACTTTTCGCTGAATAACTCCCATCATGTCTTGCACAGTAGTTCTGTCAACCTCTGTCAACCTTATCTACCATCTTTGTCCACCACTTCTCCAAATCAGATGGTGTTTTGATTGTTTTGCCACATTTCTTCAATTTGCGCATGATAATTACCCAACATTTTTCGATGTGATAATTTGGTGGATTGATACTTTTTTCAATAAAATGGACACTTATAGCATTCAATTACATCCCTGCTGTAATGGCGGCTGGCTAAGTCGAGCAAGAATTTTACGGGACCTTCGTGTGGCTGAATGAATGGCAAAATTCTCTTCTGGAGACATTCCTCCTTGTAAAGTTGTCCATTCATAGTCGCTCGGGTTATGAACAACTGCAGATGCCTTGCCAAATCATCAACTTGCGAGTGAATTAATCTGCAAAGGCAAATTTGAAATTACCCGGAACATCCCCCTTACGTTTGGAAAGGTAACATTCTGGACCTGGATTTTGTCCAAAGTCCATTTTTAGGTAAGTTTTCAACGTGAGTGTGCAGAATTTGTTCACGTCTCTCGCGTTCCACCTTCGAAGACTGTTTCTTGCTATGACAACTAGAGTCGCTACAGTGAAGCGAAGCGGCCAAATACTAACTGGAACAGAATTTACAAAACAACTGAACTGTATTGAATTTGAGTTATCACGGATACCGACTTTTAAAATTAGTTTTCGAGATAATCGCCTTTAAAGTTTTAAGTTATATTCATGGACATGGTACTCTTCAAACTCGCATAACATCGTCTTTTTTATCGGATCAACTTGAAATTTTGAGAAAACAATTCTAAATATGTACACTTTCAAATCGATTTTTTTAAACTTTGCAGTTAGGCATGACCCCTTAAGGATATTTCGAAAATAATGGTATGAATTTGTTGTATCGTATTATTTAAATCTTATCCATGTATCTCCTGATAGGTGAAACGATCTGACACTTTCATTTATCGCTGTGAAAAATAACCATAAATGAAGCACATAAAACAATGCCTCTGTTTTCAAATCAAAACCGCGTCTACACCCTTTTAGGATGGCTTACGAGTGGTTAGCACCTTGATATCAACGAACTCGTCTAATCTCCCAAGCAAATCAATCCCCTGCGGTGGAGAGATAAGGCTGGATTGAGCCTGATATTTTTATCAAAATAGCACTCAAGCCCAGTGGCGTAGATTCAGTCAGAGTGCTAGTTCCAGACCACAAAGATGTCCGCTCCGTTTGATCTTGAACTCGGTCCACCGAGTGCCGAACTGCTGGAGGTTGCCCGCCAGGAGCTGCGAGAAACTCCGGAAGTTCGTGCCGCAGCCATCGAAGAGCTACGAAAGCTGCTGCACGCCACAAGTGATTTGAATTTCCCCGATGATGACGAGTTCCTGCTGTTCTATCTGAGGCCTAGTCACTTTTACGTGGAAAGTGCTCTTAAATTGGTAAGATTTGTACATCAGATATTCATGCGATTCAAATTAAACCATTCAATTCGTTTCAGATGCGCAATGTGGCTGAGTTCCAGAAAAGCTACCACGACCTGTTGCATAACCTGATGCCGGCAGACCTGAAGAATGAGATCACCAACTATAACCTGGTGACGGTGTTAACAAACCGTGACCAGAAGGGTCGCCGAATGGTCGTCGTTCGAATGGGTGACGTTTGGGACCCGAAGGCCGTTCACGAGGACAAAATCTTCGGAATTCTGTACACGATCCACAAGTTGGCCATCATGGAACCGGCTACGCAGATCAACGGAATTGTGGTCATTTACGACTTTGCGGGGCTTGGCATGAAGCAGGTCAAGGGCATGTCACCTAGCGGTACCAAGCGGCTGTTGGCCTTCATTCAAGAGGCTGCTCCCGTGAGAATGAAGGCAGTCCACTTTGTCAATGAACCAATGCTGTTCAATATGGTGTGGGCATTGATGAAGCCCTTCGTCAAGGAAAAGCTGAAGAATAGGGTAAATGGTGGTATCTTGTACTTTCGAAGAGATTACTTATTTAGATTTTGATGTCCCAAACAGATGTACTTCCACGGTGAGGATAGGAAGAAACTGCATAAGCACATCGATGCCGATTGTCTACCACCAAGCTACGGTGGAACTCTGTCGGAACTGACCTATGGATCCAAGGAATGGTATCCCGCGATGGAAAAGTACAACGATGCTATCAAGAAGTTCAACTCAGCTGGATTTAAGTGAAATCATGACAATGTAGATTAATAAATCATTATACTATATGCGTATCTTATCGAATTGGAATCGTTAGGTATTATCAACATCCATCATGTTTACTTTTTTTCCATTGGTTTGTTTTCCGTCGATCTTGTTTTCCGTGCTGAGCAGCAATGCTACCATCAACTCATGAACCGGTGACCAACGGCTTTACTTCCCTTTCGAAGGAAGGCGTGATCAGAGATGTTATGCCTCAGAACATCCCGGCGGCGTTGAATGGGATTGAACCCAGGCCTGCTGGGGTGAGAGGCAATTAAACTTACCACTACACCACCGGCGCCGCTATTGCGGGCCTTATTACTAGTTTCTATATTAATTGGGGGCCATACCATATTAGGGTGCCAATGAATGTATGCAATTTCTAAAATTTTGGGAGACTCCAAGCTTTGAACGTTGGAAGACTTTGAACGTTTTATTATAAAAAAATGTTACGTTGATTCATTTTTGAGTCATTATACCCCAATACTGCTGCTCACGGCAATTCCATCCCATAGCACAAATCAGCATGCCGAGAAAAACGCGTTTTAAGGTAGCTTCGTACCACTGCTTCTAGTATAGTGCAATAGTACAACCTGTTTGGTTGTTTTCTACACTTTTACAGAACAAAGTTGATGAGTTTATCCAATATTATGAAACTATGGCTCATTAGCTTCACATCCATTGAAAAACTCGGTTTTGACAAAAACGCAAATGGGTAGAATACCGGTCATATTGATTTATGTTTTGAGACTGAAATTGAAACTTTAGACTAAAAGTCTCTTCTACAAAGTTGTTCCTTATAGTTAGGCCCTCATTTTTATAACAATAAATGGTGGTTCCTATTATTATTAAAAAAAATCTAACTTTTTTGTTTGAATACATTAAGGTATACATTCTTCCGCAAAGTTATAGCTGAACTAATTCAAGCAACTTTGTTGGATACAACTTTCTTGCATCTCTTAAATTGACCGATTTAGAGCTATTTTCTTGAATTGAATGTATACCTTAATGCATTTAAACAAAAAGTTAGATTGTTGATTTTAATGATAATAGGAACCACCATAGAATTCATTGTCATAAAAATGAGGGCTAAACTATACTGCCTATAAAAGCATAACTGTCCCATATGAATAGGAAATCAAGCAAAGATGGGACAGTTATGCGAGTATCGGCAGTATAAGGAACAACTTTGTAGAAGAGACTTTTAGTCTAAAGTTTCAATTTCAGGCTCAAAACATATCATTCCACCTAAATATGCATTCTGGACCACTGTGCAATGTACTTCAACGAATTTCAGTTGAATAAGTATATAAACCATGGCTTACTTAGTAATGGAACAAACTCTTTTGCTTGTTACAGCGCTCCTAGTGGACGGTTTTGGATGCTGTTGACGTCTATTTGTTGACAATAACCATAACAATAACAGTGTCTTAAAACGGTCTTGTTTTGGAGACAGCCAAAATGCAAGAGGAGCGTAGAAAAAAATCGTGCACAGAAAATCCATCGTGGTCGGCGTCCAAGTGTTAAATTTTCCTATAAACACCGTATGGCGCGTGTTCAAAATGTACAGGGAAATCATGACGACGAATCGGCAGCCTCAATGTAAACGCCGGAGTGGAACTGCCAACCGTCAGCTCCATGGAAAGGTCGTGAAATCCATCCTGAAGCAACCCAGGTATGTCCGATCGCGATCTGAGTTAAAAGCTACCGCGAAGGCTTACAGGCATACCGCGCCAGTAGGCAACCAAATCGATCACTCAAACAGAATACCTTAGCTAGAACAAGTGCTCGAAAGCTGTATGACAACCTGCTCACCAAGTCCGCTGGTTGCATACTTATGGATGATGCAAAGGCCGTCTTCCGACAGCTTCCAGAACAAAAATTGTGCAAGGCCAGATTCAAATTTGTTTTTGCGTATAAATTCGCATCTGGCAGGGAATTTGCAGCTGTGGTAAGAAGACAAAGGTTTTCGTCACTGAGAAACTTATGAACTCGGAGGTTTACAAAACCGAATGTCTCCAGGAGCGAATTCTGCCCTTCATCCAGTCACATGATAGTCCGGTGACATTTTGGCCGGGTCTTGTGAGTTGTCACTACAGCCGGGAAATACAACAATGGTACAATAACAACGGAGTCCAGTTTGTTCCGAAAACCCTCAATCTGCTCATTTGTTCCCACGCTTACCACTACACCACCTACTATACTGTATTGGAAACCCTTCTTCTTCTTCTTCGCATTTAAAGCTTATTGCATATCGCACATTAGCTTATTGCGTACTCTCAACTTTGTGTTCTAGATGCACTTCCACAGTTATTAATTGAGAGCTTTCGATGCCTGTACCATTTTTGCATTGATATGATTGTGTGGCAAGTCCAATCATACTTCTATGCCCAGGGAAGTCGAGAAATTTTCCAACCTGAAAAATTCCTAGACCGAACCGGGAATCGAACCCAGCCACCTCCAGCATGGTTTTCCTTTGTAGCTGCGCCTTTACCGACTGAGCTAAGGGAGGCTCCAATTGGAAACCCTGCAAATTCTAAATTATATGGTTAGTAAAACTGTAATACAAGGTTATTTTAAGAGTAATTGAAATCATCTCCAATATGATGTTATGCTGTTTTTTTCAGGCGTAGGATAATAATTAAACATAACATATAACAATACATAATAACACACAAAAAGTAAATAAGCAAATAGATAAATGCAGAAATAAATCAATGAATGAATGAAAAAACTAATAAATAAATAAATTAAAAAATATATAAATAATTAAATTAAAAAAAATAAATAAGTTGATAAACAAAAACATTAATAAATAAGAAAATAAAAAAAAATACAAAATAAATAAATATGAAAAATATTTAAAAAAATCAAATATACCTATATATATAAAAAATTAAACGAAATAAATAAATATATGAAAAATTAATAAAAAATCAATAAATAAGTGAATGTATGCATTAATTAATAATTATATGAATAAATAAATAAATAAATAAGTAAATTAAAAGATAAATAAATCATTAAAAAAACTATATTTATTAATAAACATAAATAAATAAATAAATAAATGAAAAAATAAGTAATTAAATAAATAAATTAATACATAAATACAAAATAAATAAATCGATATATAGAATAAAATAAATGTATAAATAAATAGAAAACTAAATTAATAAAAAAATACATAAAAACATAAATAAATAAATAAATGAATGGATGAATAGGTAAAAAATAATTTAAAAAAAAATTAATTAATGAATAAATAAATTCATATATAATTATTAATTAATTAATAAATCAATAAAATAAATAAATGAATTAATAAATCAATTCATAAATTAATAAATCAATAAATATATAAACAAAAACCATTAAAAAAATAATAAATTGAAAACTTTTCAATGCATAATTAAAAATAATAATAAATAAATAACGATAAAAATAAAAAAACTATTAAAAAAATAAAAATAAATAAATGAATGAACGAAAAATAAAAAAAAAATAAGTAAATAAATAAATATTTGAAAAAAAATAAATAAATAAATATACTAATAAAAAATGAAAAAAAAAAAATAAGCGATTGAATGAATAAATAAGTAAATAGGGGAAATATCTCTAATGTTGACCTATGGATCTAATATTGGGTCCATCGCTAAAAATCTGCTATTTATCAATTTTACCTAGATGAACGCGTTATTGGGACGTTAATTATGGATATTTTTTTGTTGCTATTGAATTTTTAGTCGATTGCTGAATTTATGTATGGACCCAAATTAGGGACACTTAGGCCGACATTACCTGCATTTCCCCTAAATAAATAAATAAACAAACAAATAAATAAGTAAATATATAAATAAATAAATAATTGCATTAAAGAATTAATGAACCAATAATTAAAAAAATAAATTAATAAATAAGTAAACCAATAGAAAAATGAATAAATTAATAAATAAATTAATAAATAAATAAATAAATAAATAAATAAATAAATAAATAAATAAATAAATAAATAAATAAATAAATAAATAAATAAATAAATAAATAAATAAATAAATAAATAAATAAATAAATAAATAAATAAATAAATAAATAAATAAATAAATAAATAAATAAATAAATAAATAAATAAATAAATTAATAAATAAATAAATAAATTAATAAATAAATAAATTAATTAATTAATTAATTAATTAATTAATTAATTTATTAATTAATTAATTAATTAAATGAATAAATTAATAAAGTAATAGAAAAAAATAAACAAATAAATAAATAAATCCATAAATAATTATATGAATAAATGAATAAATAAACTAATTTATCAGTAAATCAATAAATCAAGAAATCAATGAATCAATAAACAAATAAAAAGTACATCCATAAATAGCAACGCTGGTGCTGTAGTGGTAAGCGTGATTACCTCTCACCCAGCAGTCCTTGGCTCCTACTAATTGAACGAGCTCTATCTCGAAGTCAACCGTGTCCCAGTGGAACCGAGCGAATACACCGGCAGCATCACACCTCAACAGTCCTGGATCGAATCCCAAATCCGCTGCAATGAAAGAAAACGCAACTGTGAAAGCAGTCAATGCACCATCTCCCACTGTCTGATGTTTATTTTTTGGTTTATTTTTAGAACCAATATGTGTCAGAACAAACGAAGATTTCATGTGATTTTTTATATATATTTTAATAATATTGATTTATGACATGTATATTAGGGTGTCCCAAAATTGCACTATGACTGGAAATCTGAGGGCTCACCCTCCAAATGATAGCTAAGGGTGTTACAAACAAACTTTTGTGTGGCGGAAACTCTGGGAAATGTTGTTTAGAGGTCGCCCCGACGAGATTTTTGAAAAAAGTCCATTTTTCATAGCTATTATCAAAGACATCATATCAAGAAGACTGGTAACTTTGCCAGAATCCAAGTGACAGATACAACAACGCTGCGCTTGAGTGAAGGTGGAAGCAACGCATAGAAAAATGAGCAAATACACAAACCTTTCTTCTGAGGATGTGATCTTTGCTATCAAATTCCTTCGAAGTATTTACCTTTGAGTGGCAGATGACGCGATTGTGGCTGTCTCATAGCGTTTGTATGAGAAAATGGAAGAGTTGCCAGTCTTCTTGATTTGTTGTCTTCGTTATTATCCAATAATTATTTTTAGTTCTTTAAATTTCAGTTAAATCTCACCCTTTTATATTGCTCGCAGATTCACAAGGGTCAAAACTATAAGAGAATAAATTGCTACGGCATGTTCTGTGTCCAATTTGTTAGTTACAATTTTTCAAATTCTCTAAAATGATGTTTTTTGTTGTACATCACTGCATTCAATCATCAAAAGTGGGTATCAAACATAGCGCTCAAGTCGGATCTCACCACTGGTATTGCCAGGAAGCATTTGCCCAGAAACCGTTTGCCGTCGGAGTTGGCCGTCATCAGGTACTTTCGATTCAAGCATGAAACCCAACAACTTTCAATCGGAAAAAGCATTCAATTTGTGGCTACCGAATGCTTTGTCCGATTGAAAATTGTTGGGTTTCATGCTTGAATCGAAAGTACCTGATGATATCCAACTCCGACGACAAACGGTTTCTGGGCAAATGCTTTCTCGCAATACCGGTGGTGAGATCCGACTTGAACTTGGTTTTTGGTGACATGATTTTCTTTTTTGGTTCTGCTTGCTACGGCAATAAAATGGAAACTAATAAATTGTGTGATCCCTCTCTGCTCATATATCCTCCTATTGAATTCTAGAAACTTCGAAACAAATGTTATCAAGTGATTTGCAACAAAGTATGTGATTTGTATTTATCGATTTCAATGATAGTTTGATTTGCTGGTCGGGACATACTGCAAGTATTGCAATTTTGAACTTTTTTTTCCACAGTAAATCACGAATAAATTTTTAACAGTTAAAAATGAGGTTAAAGTGTTTTCGGCAATGTTTTTGCTCATATTTTATATTTCAAATTTCCCATACTTCTGCTGCATTTGATTGATAATAGCGCTATGTTTGATACCCACTTTTGATGATTGAATGCAGTGATGTACAACAAAAAACATCATTTTAGAGAATTTGGAAAATTGTAACTAAAAAATTGGACACAGAACATGCCGTAGCAATTTATTCTCTTATAGTTTTGACCCTTGTGAATCTGCGAAAAATATAAAAGGGTGAGATTTAATTGAAATTTAAAGAACTAAAAATAATTATTGGATAATAGCTATGAAAAATGGACTTTTTTCAAAAATATCGTCTGGGCGACCTCTAAACAACATTTCCCAGAGTTGCCGCCATACAAAAGTTTGTTTGTAACACCCTTAGCTATCATTTGGAGGGTGAGCCCCCAGATTTCCAGATTAGTGCAATTTTGGGACACTCTAATGCAGGGTTACTTCCACTCACTTGCTATAAAAAATTGTGTTTCCGGATTATGAAAACATTAGATGTTATAATATGATAATTAGTACTTGTAAGTTACAAGAAGTAGTCGTGAAGTATGCATTTGCCACATTAAACCTGTCAATATTGCTTTCAGTGCATCACAATCAGCGATTTAACGATTCGTGAGCGCTCACTCAGAGTGAACGCTCGCGAATCATAAGATCGTCGATTGTGACGCTCTGAAATCGAAATTGACAGGTTTTATGAGTCAAACACATCCTTTAGACCCTTTTCTTGTTAGTTACAAGTACAACATATAATTATATCATCTAATGATCTCATAATTTTGATAACCATTGTTTTATAGCAAGTGAGTGGAAGCAACCCTGCTCTAATGTATATGATATTGTAGTGAATAATGAAGGTTATGCTTAAGGGTTTTAAGTAAATTTTAGTTAATTCTTATAATTTGACCGATTTTTATTTATCATATGACGATCCTATAAAAGTTACCAACTTATCAGCATTGTATCAGCATGTATTAGATATTCATATAGTATTTACCTGACATATTTTCAATCATAGCGTTTTCATTGGATTTTCTTATAGCGCTAATTTATTAGACTTCCACATAACAGGAATATGTTATTGCTGTTGTTCATTTGATTTTCTTATGATTGTTTTAAAACAAATCTAACTTTTTTCAAATCAAGATAGTAGGAGGAAAAATATATTGATATTTGATAGTAACAAAACTGGTGAAATGATCTCCTTTATTCGAAAGCTTCACGTATTCAATTGTGCACACATCTTAAGAACTGCACCGTATGAAAAATTCATGTAAATTTCTGCGATATATAGCGCGCACGCTATTAACGCTTGATTTGGCGTAATGTTACACGGTATTTTATACAAATTTAAGTGCAATATCGCACAAATCTGCAATATTGCATACAAGATTTTGAACAATTTCGACGCTTCTGCCAACTATAGCTCAAAATTAGAGCCGGTGTATAATGAGTCACGCCAAGAGAGAAGCCAAGTCTACCTATTGAACAGTCAAACCGGCTACCTATTGTGTAAAATAAACAAACATTACGATACTATGAAAGCTCCACGAAAGGTATTGCAATAAAATATAAATCTTTTAAATTTGTCGAACCTTTTAACGGAATCCTTTTATGAAGAGCTTTAAGTGTGTTGGTTTATTTCCTTTAAATTCTGTTATAATTGCTTATCTTTTGACAGATACGTGTATTTCGTCTACTACTTAGCACTGATGACGTCTGCAAGTAGTAGATGAAATACGCGTATCTGTCAAAAGATAAGCAATTATAACGGAATTTAAAGGAAATAAACCAACACATTCAAAGCTCTTCATATAAAATATAATTGAAGAAATAATCATAAAAACGCAGTGAGCTTTGAAGTGTCATGGAAAACGTTTGGTAATGATAAATAATAACAATTTGTAATATTTGTTGTTAAGATAGTTTGACAACATCATTGATTTAATGATTTAATACAGCCGCTAATTTGTTTTCTCGCTAGAAGTCATTTGCAGTTGATGCAGAAGTCGTCTGTTGCCAAGTGAAAGAGAAGGAAATCTTTCGAAAACCGTGTTGCGAGTTTGACTGTTTTTCTCCTGACGTGACTCTTACACACAGACTCTACTCGAAATTAAACGAGAGTGCTTGTTTACGTTATTCCTACGAGTATACGGAACAACTCTGGTAAGATTATTGCACACACGCTACTGCATCATTTAATCGAACGAGTGCGAGCAGGACAGGCCCACATGTATCCCGCCTTGTCAAATGCTCGTCACGCGACAATTGAAAAAAGCGATTACTTTCAGCTGCAATCAAACTTTACACGATTTTCGCCAGAATTGGAATCTGAGTGACACGACACGACAAACGTCGGTGCTGTGATAGCTCCCCTTTATATGGTGGTGTCCCCATCTCGGGGAATGTGGAGGAAACTTCAAATGGCGATAAAGCTTTATTTGTGTAGGCTTCTTTTCGTATGATAAGATAAGGTAAAGTGAGTAATGTCTGCTTGCAGATTCGGACACCTAGCTAGAAAAGTTGAGGTAAGTTGGATCGTTATTCACACCGTTCGCCAAGGCTTTCAAATGTACCTATCCATGCTAAGTCTCTTACCGTGCAATCAATAATCTTGAGTCTCTACCGAGTTGGCCCTTAAGCAACTCCCTTGCAGGGATCGATTGAGCTCACCCTACCGTTGTTGCACCTCTCAAACCGATGTTTTTCATTCAAAACAGTCCGAACTGTCAAAAATGAAATATCAAGGATAGTATGAAGCATTTACATAGTGTTTTTAGCCCCAATTAACGAACACCCTACTAAAAATCAAACCACGAACCGAAAGATGACTGAATGTTTGTGCTGTGCTGGAATAAAAAGTATGTTTTCTCATAAAAAAACTTTGCTTTCATATTTATTTTACAAACTTATCAAATAAATAATATCTTATCTAAGAAAACCATTTTTTCCAAACAAAAACGTAGAATCGATTTTCTGCACGATAATCTGATTCTCTCTACTCCGATTTACGTTACGTTCCAAATTTGCTTTCCAACTACCGATTACACCCGCTTTGTTTCTTATCTCTGCCAATAAATCAAATTCAACTAATATCACCTAAGTAAGTCGCTTTCCTACAAACCTCTTTGAAAACAATAAAACAACAAAGGGTAGTTTCTTCCTCTAGGGAGTATTTGCGTAACCGTACGTGTTCCATTTAGAAATATGATCAAAGTATTTCTCAATGCACGGGTACCAATCTCGGGATCCGTAACTCAGGGCAGGCAAGTTTCCTCCGTAATTCTTTGGCAGATGATCTGGGTTGATGTACTTGTGCAGCTTCTTCATATCGTGGCCATGGAATTCGAGCTGAAATGATGAAATTATTTGTTGGGTTAGATTTGATTGCAGATTTCAGTCTGTGGTTCATGCTTACCCTATTCTTCAGCTTTTCCCCGATGAATGGTTTGAACAGCGTCCAGACCATGTTGAAAATGTATGGCTGTTTGATGATGTGCACTTCCTTCATTCGGAGCGGGACGGCCTCCTGGATGAACGTCAGCAGAAGCTTCGAGAAGGATGGCGAGAGAGCTCGGACTTGCTTGAGTGAGAGACCGTCAAAGTCCATGATGATCACGACCCCGTTGATCTGAGTGGATGGCTCCAGCTGGGCAACCAGATGGACCAGGAACAACAGTCGGAACATTTTCTCGGCGTTGACCTGCTTCGGGTCCCATGCTTTGCCACAGTTGATGATCAGCACCCGGCGACCTTTGTGATCTTTGTTGGTCAGCACGTTGACGATGCCGTGATCGATGAAGGAAATCTTTTCGTCTTGTGGGTACAGATTGTGCATGAGGGGGTAGTGGTTCTTTTTGAAATCGGCAATGCGTCGCATCTGGGGGCAGATGAAAAGGGAAAACCAAGATTGTAAGTAATAATGCAATTGAATCATACGACTGCCGTGCGAACTTTGGTCGCAATTTTTCTCTGTTATCACATCGGCTGACGAATTTGAGGCTATAAATTATGTGGGAGTGTGAATTGTTGGCAAAACAGAGGGTCTTATCAGGACGGATCGATCAATCAATTAGTATGAACTCGAGCTGGTCCGATTTCATGACGGAGATGGGCATTTACGTGGACAATGACGGTTATCTTCTTCTTCTTCCTTCAGGATTGTTACGCTTCTGTAGCGAGCGTTTTGTCTGCTCTAAACTTGGTGTTCTAGATGCATTTTTACAGTAATTAATTGAGAGCTTATATGTCAACTCAATGTAGCACCTTATTTATGACTGAAATAAGTCGTATACTGGGTCGTATATTTAGTAATTTCTAAATTAGATTTGAGATAAGTGTGCCTACTATAATAAAACTAGAACTAGCTTCCGCGGGAAGATGTAGGAACCGAAGATTCGAAAGAAAAGACTTGCATTTTGAGACTATTACTGATCTTTTCATCGGGGGATCTTGCACAAACAGTATTTCGATCATTTTCATACAAAAGTATTGAATGCAAAATTTACTTAAATTTGGCACAGTCAACTCATCCGTACTTTATATAAAGTTACGGAGGTAAATAAAAAAAAACAATGTTTTGGCTCAGATCGAAGCTGCCCATAATTAATAAAAAAAAACGAGGATTTAAACGAAATTGAACACAGCTCCAAACGAAGGTGAACTGATCTCAATCTTTAACACAATCAGCCGTCACTTATAACTTATACCGAAATTGGACACAACATTCAATGAAAATGGAAAATCGTTTAAACAAAATTTTCCCTATCTTTCAATGAAATATTCAAAATTATTAAAAAGAATATACCGCTTCGAGAGAAAATTCAAACAATTTGTAAGTCTGAGCCACCTCAGTCAGCTCGGAGACGAACCAGCGTTCGGCTGAAAGTCTCCTTAATAAAGATAACTAACTAACTAACTGACTCCAATACACAATGGTCCGAAAGCCGTATTTAGGAAGACAACAATGTTTGCACCTAAGCCGTCAGTTTTAGGTATGTGGTGCCTTGGGGAAAGTTTCTTCATATTTTTCAGGCCAGTGACAAGGCCTATACCAAAAGCAGCGTTTGACAGTAGGCAGCATGTCCCGGACTCAAATCATTTATTTTGCTGTGCTGGGCCCGCTGTCACGATATAAAATGTTGCCTACGCGCCTGCCACTGGGCTGTATTTTTTGGGTGATCTTTTTTAAATAGTGAATTTAGGGTGGTTTATATAATTGGTGAATTGAAAATACAACCTTTTTATTAGTTAAGATAGACCAATGTAGCGTTCTAAAAAGTTGTAGAACAATTAATTCGATGCAACTTTGCTGAAGGTATCCAATTTCTATCTCTTATGGTTCATAAGTTATGATTATTTTAAACAAACAGGTTAGGGTGGTCCAAAAAATCGGATTTCTTTGAATATGTTTTCATACGTTCATTTCTAGTAAAAACGTTGTTATGGACACATGTCATGTGCATCCCTAAACAACCAAGACAATAACCCAATTGTAAACAAACAAAGTCATTCCCTTCAGCCTGAACAAAGTTCAAAGCCTCAAATTACATATAATGCAATGCGGCGATTGCGCCATAGCGTCAGAGTTATTTCATTTCCACTTTCCTCTCCCCGCTTGAGACCTAGACGAGACGAAAGGTTTCATGACAGACAAACAGACATAACACATTGAATATTTCTCAGTGTAAAACATCGTCGCTAAAACATTACCGCCATCTGTTGAGTACGCTGAACAGATGGCGGTAGTGTGTAAAGGCAAGGGAATTTAATATGCGCGCCACAGGTGGCAGTACTATTAACTGAGATACTTTCAAATTGACCGTTAAATGCTTGTTCGATGAAAAATTTATGAGTGTTATGTCTGTTTGTCTGTGGTTTAATGTTGCGCAGTCGGGTAGGACCACCAAGTCACCAAAAGTGCAGACCTTGCGAAGATGCATATTTTGGTATCGACCCTCCAGTCGTCTCATTCTTACATATAGGTAGGATAAGGAAGAACATGTAAATGCTATATAAACCAAACAATTCTGAATACACAAGCCAATTATCGATCAGCAGTCAAACTCTCTTTACTGCGGTCCATACTGGTAGATACTTTTAATAAGTCTACCCTAGTTTGGATACCACATGAACAAAGAAAGTCCTTCTCCAATTGAAGTCTGCTCGATTGAATTAGATTAGATTGATTAGAACTTTTGATGATGCATATTTTTGCTGAAGCTTTTTTGATTAGAAACCTAAGGCGATTTTCTTCGAAAAAATAATCATAACTCAAAGAGATAGAAATTTGATGTCTTGAGCAAAGTTGATTCGAATTGATTGTTCTACTACTTTTTAGAACATTGCATTGGTCTATCTCAAATATTAATTTGTATTTTCAATTCACCAATTTTATGAACCACCCTAATTTCACTCACATAAATATATCGGCCTAAAAATATGAAGAAACTTTCCTTAAGACACCATATACCTAAAAGTGATGGTTTGGGCGCAAATATTTTTCTCTTCCTAAATACGAGTTACCGATTCCCATGCGCTTTGATCAGAGAGCGTATAGCGCATCGTTGTGCCACGATGGTCGTGGCACATTTCGAGTATGAGAAGGTGATTGCAGTTTGCTCAAAAGTGCCTGAGTAAAATGCAAATACTTTCCATGATTACCCGCAGTTGCTGTGAAAATCCTCCGATAATAATTATGGGCAAATCACCCACCACGCAGTTAATAAATGTTCAAATTACCCGTGCAGCAGCTTGAATCCAAATGACCTTTCACCAACTGTCAGGAAATATGCATAAAAAGTCATGACCTACCTAGTTATTATCCATCTCATAGTTGCGATAGTGAAGATGTATACCCATATTTTCGTTAATTTCCGGACGTGTTTACCATACATAAACCTTTTTATTTGATTTTGTGTGAGGATGGGTTTCAGGTGTGTATGGGCATATGGGTGATAATATTAAGTTTACGTTAGAATAAAGTTGAAACATTGAGAAATGTATCGCTTCAGTTTGAGAAGTACTTCACCTAGCAACCGATGAACCATTCTGATGGCTCACATTACCGTGCAGGTGTCGTGGGTTAGCAGGGTCCAATATGGGACAGCTTGATGTTTATAAAGTACTATCAGTTAAAACTGTATTTTTGAGCAATCCTTTAAATTTGTCGAACCTATTAACGGAATTCCTTTATGAAGAGATTTGAGTGGGCTGGTTTATTTCCTTTGCTCATCTTTTGACAGATGCGCGTATTTCGGCTACTACTTGCAGACTTCATCAGTGCCAAGTTACTACCTACGAGTTATATACTAATCAATAGGTACTAAAATCAGCAGGTATCCACTGCCATGTCACAATTTACCTAACCAGGTACCTAAATTCAGTATCCAACAGGTAGATGCATGCTACGATGAGTGGTTTTAGGTAGCATGCTAAAGAGTCTCGAGTATCCGTTTCCTTGATCTCTATTAAGCAATGTTGATGTATTATGTTTAAATATTTCTAAACTTTCAGCTACGTCTAGTTTCCAAGGCGAAGATACACTCCGCAGGACATTAATGTTATCCTATGTCAAATTGTGCCCCTTTGTAACGATATGTTCTGCAACCTTGGATGTTATCCTTTTTTACTTCTGCGATGCGTTCCTTAAACCTTGTTTCCAAAGTCCTTTTCGTCTGACCAATCTAGATTTTATTGCAATCTGGACAAGAGATTTTGGTGACTCCGGCTTTCCCTAAGACATTTATTGAATCTTTTGTTGATCATAACAGTGACTTCAGCTGATTTGTCCTGCTGCTGAATACTAAACCAAGGCAAAATTTCTAAACTTCGAAATCAATGGCTTGGTAATGTTTTTTTCGAAATTCACCGCTACCCGTTTTAAACCCTCAGTTACTGGTGTAAGAGTTGTCGAAATACGCCTAAAATGATCCCTTGTTCTTTTATCGATTACTGCTTGAATTGTTTTTTCTTGATACCCATTAAGACTAGCGATTTCAAAAATGTGAGCTATTTCCTTTGATTTGCCTGTATCGCTAAGAGGAAGAGTTTGCATCCTGTGAACCATGTGGTGAAAAGCGGCCATTTTGTGTTGATGGGAATGGTTTGAAGTGCTTGGTATTACTCTCTTTGTGTTTGTTGGTTTCCTATAGATTTCGAAATTGAACGAAGACGTTTCCCTGATGATGAGAAGATCTAAGAAGGGGAGTTTGCCGTCTCTCTCTTCTTCGTGAGTAAATTTGATGTCCTTGTGAACGTTGCTTATGGCCTCCAAAGTTTTTGATAAATCTTCCCTTTTGACAATGCTAAAGATGTCATCCACGTACGTACACCAACATTTGGGCAACAAATTCCTATCCTCCAGAGTATTTTCTAGGTTAGCCATGAACAATTCACATAAAAATAGAGAAAGCGGATTGCCCATTAGTTTGTTTATAAAAATTTCCTCTGAAAATGAAACAATTTTCCTCCGTACAAAGACGAGTAAGCTTGAGATATGACCGAACTTTGTTTTTCCAAGTAGAATTCTCAAGTCCTCTAAAAGGCTGGTGGCTTCATTTACTGGTACACTCGGAAATATATTCTTTGGTGTTTCCTACTTAGCAGATAATCATGTTGGTGTTAGCTGATTCAATAGCATTGAGCTGTCCATAGTTGGGCGTTGTTGAACTTGCAAGTACCACAACATTTCATGTGAGTTCAAAAGTAATCATTTTATCACAAAATAACATTAAATGTACAAATATCAAATACGTTTACATTATATATCATGTAGAGTTCTGACAAATTTCATGCATTGTAGCAAATATTGCATACAAAAGCCCATTTTTGTAAACAACATCATTTACATCACAATTAAAATTCAGAATTTTTATCTGT